GCCTTGAACGATGAGCAAGTGACGTTATTCTATAGTGCCTGCTTATTTTCTTTAGTTTCATATATATCATTGCCAACTGTTCAATCTCTCTTTTGTTTAGCGTTCTCAGTGCATTTCTTTTTTTCTGTCCACGCTGCTTGTAGCTGCTGCTTTAGGGGGGCTTAGGACTAGTCAAGCTGTACACACAGCTTTTTTCCAAAGCCCCCACCAACACTGTACCTTTCTTGTTGGAAATAAACCTATTATTATTATTGATTTTTCTTGACCAATGGAACACGCTCAATGGAGCCTCGTACGCGTCTCCCAGACCTGTTATTTCCACCCAACACAATGTGCTGTTCGATTCGGGCTGTGGGTACTCGTTTTGAATAAAGTGAATAGTGAAATTACGTGAAAAACATATTCAAACTGTCGAAGAACTTCAAAACGTATTTTCTTTTCTAATCTAATACTGATTGTTTAATGGTTGTTTTTCGGAAGCGTTTTCATGTGTTTTGGTGAGTTTAGCTTTCGTGTGCCACAGCTGCCAAATGTAAAGGACAGGTGGGCGGAAAGGGGAAGGGGGGAGGAAGGGTAGGGGGGGGGGGGGGGGGGGCGAGAGCCCGTCAAGCTGCAACGTGCAACTATTATAATTATTATTGTTATTAATATTATTCCGCAAAACAAATGTAAAAGCTGCGACTCGTACAATGTTCTTGTGAAGCACTTGCACTCTATCGACCAAATGTTTATTATGGATTGCTCGTCCTTTCTTTAACACACGCTATATTGAAATAAATAGAAAGAAACAGAACAATGACCGTGCTCAATTTTTAGTGACAAAAGCTTAACGTATATTTTTGAAATCAACACTTTGCCTGTTACCATCCATGCAGTTCAGTCCTTGTGTACCTTCCGTATAGGACATACCAAAATGGGCAAAAAGTAGGTTGACGTAAGATATTGCATTTTCCTTTATATGCTCTACCCCTACCAGTACCTGAAGCGAAATAGAGCTTAAAAAGGTGGCGAGCAAAATATTTTTAGCGAAAATATTGCTAGAGCGTCCTCGTCGCAGTCGTTTGTTTAAACGTAGGCCCCCAATGTTGTTTTATTTTTTTATTTTTTTAATTACGTTTGCGGTGTTCGGTACATGGAGTGACCAAAGCAAATCCGACAAACGACAAACATTTCAATATATCTAGAAAGCACCGATGGCTGCACTCTTTTGAGAACGCTTTCCCAAAATTCACAGAATACTTCGCGAGAAATTCTGCTGCGAACTGTGCTCCGAAATATATACTTTAGTTTCCATCGAAATAAATTTTCGTACAAGGTCGGTTCTACCGCTGACGGAGAGGGTTAAAGACTTTATTCTCTGTTACACTCCGACACGGAGCGTAGCAGACGCGGCGTAGCGCGGCGCATACAGATACCGATATTGGTCGCAGATATCGAGTTCCTGCTCTCCGGCCAATGAAGCGCGCGCGTTCGGCTCTACGCTGCGCTAGGCTACTCCACGCTGCGCTACGCTGCGCTACGCTGCTCCACGCTGCGCTGCGCACAACGTCGGAGTATTCGCTCTTTCTCGCGTGAGTTGAAACGTGCTGGCGCTAGTGCTCCGACAGCCCCCAACCACTTCCGGTTCTGAACTAGACGGCGGGTATCGCAGTATTTGGGAAGTCCAATATAACCGCTATCTTCTGGAAATGGCCGCTTATAGCCCTGTCGAACTTACCTCACCATTATGATAAAGGAATGGTGAGTAAAATATAAGGAAATATACGTGAACCGGGAGTGTGCCGGGGCTCCCCTATCGATGGCGCCACTGAGTTTGTTGCCAAACAAAAAGGGTGCGAACCTTTTGAGTTACCCAGAACGCGGTTAGCATAATTATTAGCATATTTAACGTGAAAGCTACATTGCAAGTAATGTACGTGCCCAAACATTTATTAAATAGATGAAAAACATTTTTTTTAAATGACACAGAAGTATGATTACCTTATAAATATAAATTTCGTTGCGTTAAGTTCTATATTTCATCATTCACACCATTATTGAACGGAGTTAATATCTGTCTGGAACTTTGCAAGGTCAGAGTCGTTAGTAGTTTCAGTATAAGTTACTACGCACTCGTCCCCGGAACGACTAATTAAAGGTGCGGCGCAATTAGGCAGGTCGTTGATGTGAAGTGTAAGCAGTAGAGGACCTTCTGCGGAGGCCTGAGGTGCGCCCAACGTTACTAGAACCACTCAGTTGGGAAACTGCCATAGAGCGACTGCTCTGAAAAAGTGGCCCCCATCTGTCCTCCATGCAGACCGACCTAATGCGAACACAACGCCGCCATTTCTCCTGCAGCGGACACTCGAGGAACTGCACGTTACTTCTATTTTGGCTTTAATCGGCCATTTTGGAGCCGAAACAGATACAGCGGAAGAGGTTACAGGGGTGCCACCCCGGTCTCCCCAGCGGATGCGCCGCAAATTACTACCGAAGTTAAAATGCACCTAGGTCGGGACGCGCTACGCGGCACCGCTGAGGCATGGTTGTATAAAAACAACATTAATTGTTCCGCAAAACCTTCCAAACTAAAGATTATAAAAACCTTACGCGTCCTTCATTTTGTACTAAACTCCAAAAAATTTCATACAAAAAGAGTCTTTTCCGTTTTCTTTACGCAAAAACATGCTTTCTAAAAGCTCAAGGTGACCACAGTACAGGCATATGATAATGAGTGGCGCTGTTGTCGTATTTATAGCTCGGTCTCGGTGGACGCCAGCGGCCCAGGTTTCGACGGCGAGTTTCCTAACTGAGTGTTTTAGTAACGTTGAGTGCGCCGGAGGGCGATTGAAGTAAAGGGAGACGTATTCTCGTAAGCGGCAAGAAACTGAAATCGATCACTCACAGCTTATGAGGATGGGACAACCCCGTGCATCTGATTATCCCTCCGCAGCCAATGAGATTGCGCCATTGGCCGATAAACAACGCCCAAGAGCCAATTACGAAGCACCAATTAATCACGAACATAATAGGCCGATCCCTGCGTTTCGCAAGTTCTCAGTCCGAAAGCGTCCCTGTGGTCGCATTTTGCGCTTGGCCTCACTCATATGGGGCGTTTCCGCTCGCGGCCTCGCGGGCGGGTCCGCGCTGTCGGAAAGTGGGTTTTGTCGCTGGCGGAAAAAATCTGGATCGCTTCGGGACCCATCTCCAGGGTTTCCGCCAGCGACGAGTCGATTTCGCCACCCGGCTCCGAAATCCATTTTCTGCCTGCGCGGATCCGCCCGCGCATTCGTAAGCGTAAACGCGCTACTGCTGCGACGTCATTGTTTGGATTAATTTTCCTTTCATGGCCGGAAATTAGCGCTATGTCAGTGTCGACTGTGACGATGTTGGTTTACGAATGTGATGTCTCGAAGCTTCCGATGGTATTCGTTACGCCCGCACCATCGAACTTGTAGTTTGCAACTGATGATGATAAGTAGTTAAGGTGACAACTCATGACGTCACGGCGAGGCTAATTCTGGTCGTGACGTCGCGGATGGAGGAAACCATAAGAAGGCGCCACCAAAACATCTCGGCGCTAATGACCAAGAAACAGGCTATCCAAATCGAAGCGCTAGGATCAATGCATTATTTTTTTTTTTTTTTTTTAAGTTTTAACAGAAGCCAGTGATGACAAACTTTATCAATGCCTTGGAGAAATCTCGAATAACGCAATCTGTTTTGGACCCACGATTAAGAGGAAGGGGAAGATCATTAAACGACGAAAGCCCCGTCTTACGGGAGAGCTTCGGAAAACGTGTCAGCGGTTCTAAAAATAAAACTGATTCCAGAAAATTGGTTACTTCGGAATATGTTACACGCTCCCTGCTTTACTTGAGCCATTGGTGAGGGAGATGGTCGATGATTATTGCGATAATGCTTATCTCGTCTGTGGAGTGGCACCGCCTTCGCGATGTTGCGGTCGCCTGCTAAAACGCCGAGAACAAATTTTTACTTTGTACTTTATTTTTTTTTATATTACATTCACATAAAGCTAAAGCGGAAGGTTTCTATATTCCACTGTATTTTGTTACAGGTCAACATAGCTCATTAAAATATAAAAAGGTCTGATCAATTATATAAAAATTATCGAGGATGCAGAAAAAGGAGAAGGAAGTCTTGATAACTATAAACAACTTCCGCGGATGAATTTGAGATTGGCATTAAAGCAGCTTGCAAATTAATATCTGTGGTTACGAGCATACTTGAAATATATTTCAACTCTTATTTTTTTTAAGGGCAAAATTATTACACATTTTTGTGCATTCGTTTACGCGGTGTCCGCCCAATAAAATTTACAGCGTATTTTTTTTTTTTTAACCACGAAACGCATCGCCGAGCGCTCAATTTCCGCCCAAATGTAACGCTAGCGGTCTTTACCAGATGCAGAAGTTTCAGAACTAATCGTTACCGTATCCTAAAGTTATAGGATATTTTCAGTGATGTTCGATGGGATAATGGCGACCGAGGAGGCCCACATATACATGGAGATGAATGGCGTCGACTACTATAGTAGCGGGCCTAATGTTCCTGTTTAAAGTTTAAGAAAAGTCACGTAGTATTTTTTAATAAGGTAACGGTTAAATCTCACAACTTTGCCATTGGGTCCTGAACGCTAGCTCAACATTTGGGAGGAAACTGAACGTTCGGTGTTGCGTAGTTTATTTTTGCGAGAAAAACATCACTGGATGGATGGATGGATGTTAATGGCTATCGCCCTTTGCAACGGGCGATAGCTTGCGCCACCTAGTCTAAAAAGAACAACCTATGATTCCTCCCGCCCTCCTAAGACCATTTTTCTCCCTTTATCACCAGGCAGTGTGGGATATCACCACGTCCGATATGCACTTTATCTCTTCTTTTTCTTTTAAAGGGGGGGGGGGGGGGGGTGTTCAAGTGAAGGAGAGTGCCGGACACGCACTTGAGCGGTGACTTGGGAGGATCATCCCGAGTGACTCGGTGGTTGTTTCTCTGCGCAGCTGACCTGCGACGTGGTGTTGTTGTTCGCCGTGAACACGATCGGGATGTTCTCGCACTATCCAAGCAAGGCGGCGCAGAGGCAGGCCTTCCTCGAGACGAGACAGTGCATCGAGTCTCGGCTGAGCATCCAACGAGAAAACCAAAAACAGGTAAGGAATTCCTCACTTCTCTGCCCTTCGTCGCGGATTCTTTTGGTGTTCGACTCTTGCATTCGGGTAGCATGAATGGAAACCTGTTTTACGGAGGCCTTCCCCTAGTGCTTTCTGTGTGCGTCCAAGCTCTTGTTCCACTCATGATCCGCTTTTTCCACTTTCATTTCCTGTAATCATGAAACACTGGCGTGAATTTTAATGTGTGCTTTGCGCTCCTCATCCAGTTACACCCTCTTGATGGGTTTCAGGGAGTCAGGTCTCTTAAGCCAGTGAAGCAGGCGCAATAAGTATACTTAGCAAAAGTTGTGGTGGTCCCTGGGGAGTCAATTGAAACTGTCGTGGCGACACTTAGAAGAGTTCCGCTGCAATTCAAAATAACGCGGGCATTTGATCATTACCTTGGCCCGGGCACATAGCCAGGAATTTGGTTTGGGGGGGGGGGGGGGGGGGGGGAGCGCCCATGACAAAATTATGTATGAGGGGGAGGGGGAGAGGAGGTCCCAGCAAATTGGTAGATTTCGGGGCGGGGGGGGGGGGGGGGAAGCCCGGGCCCCATGCCCCCCCCCTCCCGCCCCCCCCCCCCCCCCTGGCTACGTGCCTGTCCTGGCCGCAACTATAAACCATTCTGCTGTTTAGAAAAGTAATAGGTCAGTGTGCAATACTAACAGTCCAGGGAGGCGTATTTTTCACTTAGGTAATTGAGAGGCGGTCCCGTAAAACGCACCCACATTCAGAATGGCTGCTTTCAAAATCCCTGCGGACTGTGCCGTCGCAATAGACCGATGATGTTGATGATGACGATAATGATGATGACTCTTCTCAATAGGGCGCGCTAGTGACACTGAATAAGCTACGCTTCAGAGGAACGGCACTTACCCATCTCATGGCTTAAAATCACGGTTGCCAGTTATCTCAAACTTTATCTGAACCCACAGGAAACGCTTTTCCGTCCTCCACCAATGTTTAGACAGTTAGGGCAAAGCAAATTACGCGAGTTTCCCAACACCGAATCTAATACTGGGAAAGTCGCACTTTTGAAACATGACGATCGGGAGTGTCGTCTGCTCTGCACAAGGCACCAAAATGGCGGCGCCCGCAACAATGTCGAGGAATAGAGTGCCGATACTCCAAGCGTAGGCCATTTAGGGGCTCTAGGGCGAGCCACCTAGTGGCTGCATGATGTGCCAGCTATCCGAGTTCGCCATTGTTTTGGGCACATACTCTGAGAATGTATTGGGAACGCCTGTTGCGCCAGCGATTGGCGTGTGCTCGGTTCAGCCAACACCGCCTAGAAGACAAGGCCGTAGTGCTTACATTTTTGCGTCATCGGCGAAGGCCAACGCTGGCCGCATATTGGAAACGAGTGCTGCGTCAGCGAACGGCTTCGAGTCGTGTTACAGACGAACGTTGACGCAATCGTCGTGTCCAATCTGTGCCCGGCGTTGGCCTCAGACATGGACGTAACGCGTCACTAGTTACGAGTTACTTCTACCTAGTTACTTTTTTCGGTAACTATTAACGTAGTTAGTTACTTTTTTAGAAAAGGAACGAGTAGCGTACTTAGTTACTTTTAAGTAACTAAGTGACTCAAGTAACGAGCAACAGTATTTCGTTACTTTTGAGGATTACAACGTTTAAACAGCCTCGTTTTCATTCTAACCTGAGTACGCATCTATTGCGACAAAGGCAGATGGGAAACCCGAAAAACAACTACACAGTATGACAGCATAGCGACGTTTATCGCTGAACACGTCAGTCGAACTCTACAGCTGGGAGTGTCATATGCCCAGCGAACACAATAAGCTTTGTTGGTTGAACCTTCTGGAATCGCGTACAGACAGAACGTAAACCCGGAGGTTGCCAATGCGGGAAGGCACAGATCCCATTGTTAACTTGAACTTTACAAGCAGAGACACCAAAAGAGAGAGGAAAATCCCAGATTCACCGGCTCTTCCTGAAGCGGAACACTGCTGCTTCTTCAAGCGCGTCAGTATAGTACGACTCTCCAGCGTCGCCGAAGAAATGTTTTCGCAATGAAGCGGGCGAAACACAACTCATGAGAACTTCGAGAGGCAGCTACCGCTTAAGTGCAACGACTACTGAAAAGAATACCACGAAACAAAAGCAGTTGGTCGTCAAAGTAACAAGAATAGTAACTCCCTAGTAACGCGTTCCTTCTGAAAATCGGTAACGAGCAACGTATGTGTAGTTACTTTTCGAGCGGGTAACAGGTCATGGTATTTAGTTACTTTTTGAGTAACGTGTACATGTTTGGTTGGCCTTCGCTGATGACGACATCTCTGTGAGCACTGCGGTTTTGTAACTGCGGCTTTGTAACGACGACCGCCAGTGTTGCCCGATATGCTTTTGAAAAGTGTATGCTGAGAAGAATTACTCGATGAGCTACGGAAACCAAGATCCGAACACTTTATTTTATAATTAATCAATCGTTAAATGTATTTTTTCCTTACAAAACGAAAATTTGTTTCGCACGTTTCTGAAAAATACCTTTCGGATCCTCTGGCAGTTATAAAACGAGTTAGTTCGAAGAACCAGTAACGTAACTACGTTACCCGTTGCTTGAAAGGAGTAGCGTAAGTACATTACACGTTACTTACTGTTTTGAAAACGTAACGAGTACGTTGCTATGTTTCCGAAAAAGTAACGCGTTACCGGTACCGACGTTACTTGTAACGCGTTACTGCCAATATCGTATCTTTCTTAGAATGTGCGGGGTGTGTAACGGGCTGCTAAACGGAGCATGATATACTTTGGTTGCCACTTGAGAAATATGTAGGCGAAATTGCTCGGCAACGCGATATCGAAACTGTTGTCTTTGTGGTACCGATGAGAAGCGTATCATTTTAGCAATGACGAAACTTTACCGGAGTTCTTTGCAGGAATGGGTGAAATGCATCATGCAGTTGTCCTTTAACATACCACTTTTCTTTTCTTTGGGAACCCAAAGGTAGAACTCAATGCGGACAGCAAGCCGTCTGCCTCTTGCGCTGCCCGGACCTCAGAACGACGCCGGGTTCTGATTAGCTTAGCTTGGAAGCATAATGAGTAGAACTCAATGCCTTAAGGTCTACCCACTAACTTTTTTTTTCAATCAGCCAATAAGAATTTGGCGTTCTGACATCATTGCAACCCCTGGGCAACGTTACTAGATTACCTCAGTTGTGGAACTCCCACGGAAGGGGGTACTCCTCCCCCCCCCCCCCCCCCCTCACTTACTTCGCTCCGCCTCCCGTCGTTCGAAGCTCCATCTAGATTTTCGTTTACGAACTGCGTGTCCCATAGAGTACGGTGGAGCGCCATCTAGACGCTGGGCTTCGAAACGTACGTATTCCATAGAATGCACTGCAGTTGCTCTAGAAGCCGCCAGGCGGGTCGAAAGACGGGAGGCGAGTCGAGGTGAGTGAGGGGGGTCCTACTCCTGCATGCAGCGTCTATGAGCTGTTCCATAGCTGAGCTAATCTACTAGCGTTGCTCCAGTGCAAGAAGCAGACGAAAGGAGCCCGCTCAAGGTTGGCACGGGACAGCGTCTTCATATTTCAAGATAATAGATGCGCTCCGATTTTAAAGAGTGCTTGTTTTTTTCCTATACGTGTCGTTCTGTGTGACGCGTACGTCTCATGAACCTCCAGCGAGGCATTACGTTGGCCTAATGGGTACATCCTTAGAAAAGAGGTAAAAAAGCACTAAAATAGACGAAGGATACTGGGAAAAATTTACGCACACACACACACACAGTTCCTTGTCTATGCATCTCTTGCTTGTTGATTTGAGGGCTGTTTTACCGTTTTTTAGGCTTATGAACCCCACGAAGACACATGTATGTCGTAATATATTTATGATGACACCTTTAATTTCTGACAGGAGTTTCCAATACTAAGCACCGATAGCTGTCCTTTCCCGGCTCATAAATTACCGTAAATTTCAGTGTAATAATCGCGTTCTTTTTTTTTTTCAATTTCTTTAATTAGTGCGTTATAAAAAAAAAATGCAGCTTACATGCGTTTTTTTTTTTTTTTTTTGTTTTTTCTTGTACTTATGGATTTGAACTGCGCAAGATATAGGCCATATCGACATTTAGGATTAAGTAGGTACGGTAGAGCTTTCGTCCGAAGGCCTGTTCTTCTGACAGTCCGAGGACGGCAAGAACCGCGGTTTAAGGTCCGCGGTTGCAGCGCCGTGCGGACCTTAAAAAGATAGCGCAGCGATGGTGCAGGCGAGCTGGTCTAAGTTTACTTTTTTTTTTTTTTTTTAAGAAACACATCAGGTGGTTGGAGTTTGTACGTTAATTGTTCTCTGTCGTTTTTTGCCTTGTTTCTTAGGTACTGCTTCAAGTTGCTTCTCTCAGTCTCTGGTGTTTTTCAGTTATTTATTTATATATCTATTTAATTTACCTTTTTGGTGGTGCACCTAGACAGCCCGCGGTCCTGCAGAGGGGTGTACCTTTTAATAGGTGGTGCACTACGCGACACTGTTAGCGCACCACCATTTCGATCACCCGTTTTTTCTGTAACATAAATGTAGAACACAAAAAAAAACATACACAGTTGTTGTCGCACAAAAATAGTTGAGAAAATAAAGTGGTCATGAGAACAGCCAATCTTAAACTTCAGCAGGTATGATTATAAAACATATACAAATTTTTTCACGAAAACGTCCGTTTATAATGGCGACTTTTAAACAATGGTGCGACTTAAATCACGTAAAATACGTTACTTACTCAAAAACACAAATACAAGTAAGCACGTACAACACGTGTGAAGCGCCAAGGCCTGTTGCAGCTCGGATGAAACACACGCTCCCCGATTGTTTGCCTTGCACGGAGTCGATCGATTGATTCGGTCAAGACCAACTGTCAGGGCAATGAGGATGTCTCGAGCAGTCCTCCCCCGGGGCTGCCCGGTGCAGACGAGGAAACCAATAAGGACGAAGGTCAGTCTGCCCGCTGCCCGCGGTCGCCGAGTTGTCCTCGCCGCTGG